GCAAATTTTGATAGCTTTTGGTTTTTCTCTTTTTTTTTTCCAACTTTATGCCCTGATTTGTGAATTCTTTTTTTCATCTTTATTTTCTGTACAGCAAAACACTACGACTGCAATAATTTTGGAAGATCAAAGTAATTGTTGCAAGTATAAGTTGAAACAGAATTAGTTGTTGTACAATCTTTGCCAAATACCAATGGATTGTGGACGGCGAGTCGGAGAATGCCGTTTTTTAGCAACTCTGCCCTTAGCAAGACGTGATTATTTGTCAGATTTATGGTAATAAAACTTAAAAGTTCTTCTATAAAATTGGCAGATGATTTTCAGCTTTTGCTCAGATCAAAGCTCTCGGCAAAAACTATTTAGCTGAGCCGAAATAAAGTGCTTTAATCTTAACTTTTAGTTGCTGAATGAAATAACTCAATTTCGATCTTAGACAGCCTATTTTTGAACGGTTATTACAGTTTGCTGTTTTGCGTATAGTTTTATCGGGAAAGAAGATTTAGAAAAATATGTGCAACAAATTCTGGAAGTGGTTTTTGTTTTTTTTTAATTTGATTTGATTCTATCACTACTCCTTATCGAGTAAAGTACTAAAAAATCTTAATCTGTAGCTTAATATGTGCTGATCACTTCAATAAAATTTTTTTATTAAAAAGATATTTGTGATACAATTGACAAATCTGCTCTAACTATAGCGATGTTGCGATTTATTTATTCTTGAACCAACAAAGTGGTCCGGCCTGTGAGGTCACAGTTAGAGATGGGATTTAGATGTTTGATTCAATGGGTTTTTCCAAAATTTTGTTTTATACATCAACGAGAAGGTAATCTTATTCTTTTTTATTGAAATTTTTAAGTTAAATTCAGGTTTGCTTAGTTCTAAATTTTAAGTCAATTTCTTATATTTTATCTTTGACAGCCCTGCGAAAAACTCAGCTGGGTAGTATGGGGCTCTTGCATGTGTTTTTTATTTCTTAAAAAACTTAAAATTTTGTTATGTTCTTAGAAAAATGCACTGTAAACTTCTGAGAGAGAAGAATTTGTCTGATAACTGGTTGAGAAATTAAAGCTTGACTTGAGCATCAAATTGCGCCATTCAACAAGCAGCAGCAAATTTTGAAGAAATTTTTTCGCGGCCTTTCGTGATAAGAATCAGCAAAAAAAATCTTACAGTAAAACTTTTTCATTTCAAAAAGCTCATTTAGAAAAAGCTTACGTTCAGTCGCCTCTTGGTTGGATTACTGGCTCCGTATTTTTTGTAAAGTGGAATCTACGTTCGTTGTTCCTCATTCCCTAAGACTTGAAAATTAAAAATATCCGTGAATACAGGGCAAGTAATTTCATTTTTTTTTCGAGTTCTTAATCTTTTGATTCTTTGTTGGGACAAGTCCACTCCTTTCTTGAACTATTCGCTGCTGCTTTCAACTTTTCTGTCATGTCTAATTCCGACCTCTTTTTCTGCTAGCTAAGGTTCAAGCAACTGAACCGCGAACATCAAAGTGTTTAATAGATTTAAGTAAACATCTCAGGAGCATTCAAAAAGTTTTAAAATAGTGCTTTCAACAAAATTTT